AACAGCAAATGTCATTTAGTGAATTTTCTTTTTATTGATAAAATCATTTAGAATGTGTTTCACATCCGGTGTTTCTACTGAATCTTAATGAATATTTAAAAGGGTCAGCAATCTTGAAACATTTTCTATCTTTAAAAATAGTTTTACTTTAACTACAGCCTACTTTACATCTATTACAGAACTTCAAAACAATTAATTCAATTGACCGATATTTATTATCAGGTGAAAATAAAACATTTTACACAACACTGTTCCATCATGTATTTCATGAATATAAATGGCATAATATATGACCACACTATTGTGATGTCAAGTGTTTTGATGTAAAATGCTTTAATATTGACTGTTAATAAATATTGGTCATGTGAACGAATTATTGTTTTAAGATTTAAAATGTCACATTGTTGAAAAACATATTACTTTTCTTTATTCAAGGGCAAATTTATGTTCTGACTATCCTGTAAAGGAAAAAATTCTGTTTTAAAAATATTTTTATTTTTCAAACAATAGCCAAATAATTGTATTTCTCATATAGTATTTGGAATTACATATGCAGATATTTTCAGTCTAGTACACTTTATGAAATGATTGCCAACTCTATTGGTTAAGAATATTATTGTAAGATTTCTGAAAATACATTTTCAATGTCCTGGTGCAATAAAGTCCAGGGTAATGCTTTCTAGCTTCTGAATATTTTCAGTTTTGTATACAATTTTTTATTGAGTATTCTATAAATTAAAGATTTGCTTCCAGATTAAAGGAAACATTTCCTATATTTCAAAGAATAAATCATTTTTTACATACTGTTCAATTTAACAACATGAATCTTATAGTTAATCCACATTATGTTGCAAAAAATTTATTAAAGTAATAATTTTTAATAATTAGTTCTTTAACATTCAGAATGTTTCCCAATTGTAGATGAATGTTAACTGAACATTTATTGTCAATACCTAATGCGGATTGTTAGATTTGTGAAAATAAATGAAAAATTGTATTTATTAGAACTGTCCCAAAATTTCAAAATATAAAGTTAACCAAAATCAATGAAAAAATTTGTGTTCACTGAAGACTAGTGTGGTTGAGGTAGATATGAAAACCAGAATTGAAAAAATAAAAAATGTTAAGGGTTTTTGTTCATAAAATGATTTTATGTTGAGCAAAATGTAAATGTATGGATCAGTGTACAACTTGGATAATCTCAATCAACAAATGTTTTTTCTGCATTCAATTTTACAGTTTGTGATTCTTAACAAATATTGATTAATTTTTCATTACAGAGGCATATTTTTCTTCATTAAATTTGTTTAGTGAATTATAACAACTACTAGGCTTAAACGCCTGTCAAAAAATTTCATAATGCACCGTCTCCTTCTATGAAACAAACAACAACTAAACAAACTATACTCATCTAAATCAGTGTGACTCGTCAAACTTTACTTCTGTCCACAAGAATAGAAAGCAGGCAATCCTTTTACTTCTGAAACACCAATCCAACCCAAAGAAAGCCTAAAACATGTAGAGTACATTACAAAAGAGATCAGATGAGGAGCAAACATTCAAAACATGACACATCTACTTTTTCCCATTGAAAATAGAAAATATTCCACAAATTTTACACTGTTCGACACAGTCTTTAACTTAATAAATAGAGAACTACTTAATGTATTGTAAGACAACTCATGTTTGTTGTTGCTTTTTTTTCCTGGAAATAAAATTCTAAGTAAAAACAACAGAAAAACTCAAATTTTGCCAAATGGATATGTCAGCTTTTGAATGTTTTCTTCTCAGATAGACTTGAAAGGTTGTACAGAACTCTGATGAAGAAATAAGAGGTAATGAGGAATGAGAGGTAAGAATGAACAGGAAGAGTAAACTTAAGTAAGTGCATGTTCCTTGCCATCCACCCATGATAAATCACACTCCTTTCCACTTCTCCACAAGCCACCAGATTTCCATCTTTAACAATCGTAACTCTTTTTTTCCATTGCTATTGTTCCATCATCTCGTCAACCTATCCATCTTTCCCAGAGATCGCACGAAGTAGGGTCTTACTTGGTCTGTTCCCTAAAACCCCAAAACATGGCAAACCATGGGTGACAAACTCCATTTGAAGTTTACAGTTACTGGTGATATCAAACCAAGTGCTAGGATGGCACAAGTAATAGAAAATCTCATTGACAAGTTCTTTTGGTTAACATGATACAGTAATAATCGTAGGTGGGCTGAGTGACTTAAATCACAGCAGTAAATTTAACCTTGTAGAACATTACCAACAATACTGGAGACTCCCAGCCATACAAGTCTCATCAGGTCTACTCTGCCTCCTTGGCACAACAACATTCCCACAAAAAATGAAATTCAAATTGCAAACATCTAAAACATCACATGAGAGGAACACCAAATACATTATTTGACCTTGACAGTCTCTCAAGATTTTTTTTCCAAAATGTGATCCCTACCTTAATCTGGTAGCAAAGCAGAAACTCAGTGACATATGCTGTGCTAACACAAGTATTGAGCTCTTTCCCATCATTGCTGCCACCCATCTCACCCTCATTTATGCTTCTACAACACTATCTCCACAAATACATCCATTACCACATCTATTTCATTATCTTATTCCATTGGCCACACCTGCTCCAACTTCCTCCCCTAGGCTTAATGTCCATCCAAAGTACCACTTTTGTGGCAACAGCAAAGCACCTCCCACCAAAGATATGTAACAACAACCCTTAACAGGAAGGCCCAAAACATAAAATCAAATATCTACTATGTGTGTTACATCAAAATGTTCAATCCTTACAAGCTTACTTTGAATACTACTGAACAAGACCTACAATAATATGCTTCACTGCATATTCGTTTACTCAGCAATAACTAGATAGCACACATTCCAGGATTAACTTTTAGGTAATTGTTCATGTATGCAAACAGACAAACAGGCAATTAGATACTTTTATGAATGACTTAATAAAAGTGAACTTGATGGTAACTCTCTCTTTGGAGGATGCATGTGAGCTGATCTTTTCCATTTGAGATTAAATGAAATTTTTGATATATACATACTAAAAAGGTTGATTAAATGTAAAAGCAGTAAGCCTCAGCTTCTGAATAAGGATTTGAAAGAATTATTAAGGGGAAAAAATGTAATATGATAAATATTAATATTCAGGATCGGAATATGGTGAGAACAGAGCCATCAGGAAAGGAAGTAGTTGACTTATTAGCAGATCATTTTTAATCTTCTTCCATTAAAAATGTTTACATAGAAGAGATATACAGGAATTTTATAAAATTCAGTTCAAATAAAGGAATCTATGTCATAGATCATAATATTGTGATTACTACTGGCTTAGTGTTCAATAAATTAAAACATTTGAAAAATTGATTTCTAGCTGGTCCTGATAAAAATTCAGAAATAACATTAAAAGATTGTGCAGGTGAGGCCTGTATGTGTCTTACATAATATTGTCAAAGTGTTTGAAAACATTCTATTGGACATCTTGAAGCCTCAACTAAAAAATAATATTATTGAATAACATCACAGTTTTGTAAATGTTAAATCAACTACAAGATTTAGGAGTAGTGATGGACCCAAAATTGTTATTTTATGATCATGTTAATTGTACAGTTAATGAGTCTACTACTACCAGGTTATAAATCTTAGGAGTTTTAAAGAAAATTACAATCACAAAAACACAAATGTCCCACTTTAAACAACTTCATTCAATAGTGATATACATAATACATAGTGAATTTTTTAAATTCATTAATGAAATAAAATTTGATGTGCTGCTCAGGACTATGGTCTTCAAGTATGAATTATGCAATAAAAAAAATAAGAGTATACACAACATGTTTCAAATAAGCTTCACTCAATATAAAAAAGATTATTTTTTCACTCCAGTAATATATTCAATAAATGAAGAATTTTTTTGGAGGTAATGTTGTTATTATTATTATTATTTTAAATTTATTTATTTAAGGTCAGTGTAAAACAGCTCAGGTCAAACAGCAGCAGATAAAGAGCAACCACTGATAATTACACAATTTTATAAAGGATAGATAAGTGGATTGAACAACTTATATTAGCAATTCAAACCCAGCTGAGTTCAACAGTTGTACAATTATATAACATCCATCCTCAGATTTGAATAAATCAGGTAAGTTTGGGATGACACATGTTTTGTAGATTTATTATTTTGTTTTTAATTTTAGTTTCCTTACACTGATGTTTAAAATTAATATGCATTGTACTGTATCAAATGCCTTAAGTGCTGTATTTATGTGTCGATGCTAGTTTATTAATGCTATGAATGGGAAGTTATTTAACTATAAGTTAAAAATTGAACAATGCTGTTATCCTGAAACTGATCTTGCTACTTGTATAAGTCTGTAAGCAATGAAGTATTAATACTATATTTATTATTACTATTGTTGCACCTTGTACTATTTGAGACTAAGGGAAAGCAGGACAGCAGGAAAAATAAATAACAAACGCACCACTTTCACAGTTGTAACCTGCATTTAGAAATTTATCTATTATGACATTTTAAAAACAAATGAGATCGCAATAGAAAAGTATGTACATTTAACAATTGTACGACTTATAGTTATGCTACGTACGTAAATTGTTTGTATGTAGAATGTCACAAGTTACAAGTGTAGTGCAGTAGCAAGACACCAAGTATTTTGTTTGGCGTTATGTCGTGGGAAATACCCAGAAGGCGAACGTAAAAAATAATAAAAATGGTGTTTTATAATACTGCCAAGGCAATGTATTAAAGTCCGAAATATCTTCTAGGTTCTTAATATTTTATCTGCAGTATTTCGTCACGTGACGTGTCAGTATAACTTCGAATTTGTTTGTAGTGGCACTACCTGTAAGTCAGCTGTGGAGTGTTATCCAATCGGGAAGCTTAAATGTCACTACAGTGACGTCACTAACGGTGACTTTCAAGCTCTCGATTAGAAAACAACGTAACAGCTGATTTCACGTCAAGTAATTGGGAATGCATGCCTTCGCGCAGAGTACAGAGACTATTTAAGCTTTAACATTTGTGTTTCATATCGATAAGTTTTTATGATAGTGTTAGGGGAAAAAACATAATTTTCTCTGAATACGAGACCGATTTAGTAAGGTAGCATATTATAAAAATTAGGTAACTGGATTATTTCGCAGTTACGGTCCAAAACGGACGGGTGGAAGCTGAAACAGGTGTCACGAAGGTACCACACAGTGTCATGACAGGTATCACGATCGACAGCATTTCTGGATTGGACATCATACAGGTACATCTGCATATTACAAGATTATTGCAACAACGGTCTTATACAAATATATTAATATCTAGTGATTAAATACAATTAATTCAATTCCCGAAAAATATCCTTTTCAGTAACAATAATTTTCATTGACTTTCATTGTTTGGTTAAACTTTTGTATATGCTGGAATTCTGAAACATAGAAATTATTCAAAAGTCCGATTAGTTACAGGGTTTAAAAAATAGTTTCTTTTTACTTTTCACCTTACTAGGACATAGTTAAAGAGAAAGCAATTGTAGTATTGCACGGTAAGGTTCCATAGGTCCAGAAAAAAGCGGATGTGTCTTTGAATATTGACATACGTCCCGCTTCCCCGCCGGATTTATTCCTTGTTTGTGGCCACATGTCCTAAATTTTTATACTCTATTGTAATTCCCACACAGTCCTACAAAAAACTATTTTTTGGGAATACTTGTGTTTCCACATCAAACCACTTGCTCTACATTACGAACGCAAGAGGCTAATTCCATTTGTTAAGGAAATTATTGTTATTTTTTATCTTTTTATGGTGCAATCTGAGACCGAAAATAATTGATTAAAAGGAAGGTAGGCACGTTGGTGTTTTGTACCGAAATTGCCATCTGTCTCTCTCACAATGTGTTTGTGCAGAAGAAGAAAACGACATGTAAAGGCGTAAAGGGCTAAGTCAATTAGCACTTTTAATATCATGTTTTATTCATTTTATTTAATGATATGCATTTAATTGTAATATATTATTTTAAATACCTTGGAAATACCTCAGCAAATTTGCCCATCGAAATATAGAAATATCTGGAGAAAGTCAGAGGAATATAGTTTCTACGAAAAAGAGTGATCAACCTTTATTCTTTCGAAATGTGCGATGAATATATCTGTTATTTATATTTAGTTGTTTTACTTGATACACTATTTCATTCTTACAGACTTACTGATATATTTAGTTGTATAATAATTACACTATTTGCTCTGAATGTATTTCGGATGTCCTGAATTCCATTGTTATACTTATGAAACTAGCTGCAGCATAAATCGACATTTTTTCGACAGACAAACAGGTATTACGGATTACTCAATTGAAAATGTGAATAAATCTTGTACCCAATTAGTAAATTGTTCCTCTAAGTGTTGTAGTCAGAATCCAAATTGTATGGATCCTTGGATACCCAAAAATTATTGAGGGGCAAAACGTCTATTGGTCAACGCTCGCGCCTTAAACGTTCACACGATTTCTTTTCTTTTGAGCAATAAAATTTGTCAACATCGATCGGACACAAGAATTCCTGTTTAGGAGGTTTCCGTTTTATGCAAGGTTGTCCATTCATTTTATGACATCTTTTGATAATATTTAATGGCATTCTATTATTATTATTTAATTATTATTAATTATTATTATTATTATATTATATATATATTATATTATATTTATTATTGTATTTATTTTATAATAATTATTATAAGATAACCCCACTATTATTAATATTAGAATTATTACCCAAATACATAACTTATAAAACGTATTTGTGGAAGAAATTACTAGTAAATGAATATTAAACACTCTTCATTAACAGCTTCTGAGTTGAAAATACACACGGTTGTATTCGGATAGCTTGCTGACTTCTTTCAACGCACAATGCCATCACAAACCCAGTACTACGACTTTCCAATACCGCTCACACGACCTGAAGCAATGCGTGTGCTGGCGAGGGAGGGGGGGACTTTGAACGCGGGGCACAGAGAGATGCCTGAATAGAAGCCATGCCCGTACCTTCCCACGCTCAGAGTCGGGAGAGAGAGAATTCCCCTACGGTATACGTCTTGAGAGGCAACCGACCCCAAGGTCGAATTCTACGCAAAGCTGAAGCTCCTCTCCTTCAATGACCGGCTGCCTCGACTAAATCGCGTGTCACAGGATTATAGAAAAGCTTGGAGACGCATTCATTTCAATGATAACATCTCGCATCTCTCTGTCAATTGCAGTAAATTCACAGGAAGTTCGTTTTATAAAGATTATTTTCCCCTACAGGACGGGAAAACCCGTTCCGTTTCCGCATTAGAGAGGTTCCGTTTTATGCTGTGAAAAATGTCATTTAACTTCACGGACCGAAGACACTTTCCGGTTAAGAAAAGTTTTCGGCTTGTACATTTTACAGATTTTACTGTACTTTCTCGTACATGTACGAATATACGGAGTAATATACGTAACATAGAAAAAGTTATGTAATGGTGAGCGAAAAAACAGCGGAATTTTGACAGGAAAAAATAATTCCGAGCCCTGGTTACAAAAAATAGGATAAATTCAGTTGCTAAATTAAGAGAAAAATTCCTCTATCACGTGGTCCAGAATCCCTGTTGTGGGAGTCCTTGACCCCGGAAAGTCGATTGACGGCAAAACGTCTGTCCGTCTGGTGTATATGAAGCGCCTATTCTAGGTGTCTGATTTTTTCCAAACTGAAGAAACCCCTGTCCATTTAGTCTGAGTCAAAGCTTTGTGATGTTGAAAAACACTAATTTTTGGGGGTTCTTTACATGAAGACATGGGGGTTCTTTACAGATGGCATAGGTCCATTTTCACTATTAATTCTGAGTGTTCAAAAATTTCAAAAGATAATTTTTTGGCGTCTTCCAAAACTACAAAATTGAAGGCAGAGATTTTTCCTTCAAAAGAAATTCGTTGTCTAAAATTAGTTCTTTCATTAAAATCATGTACATTTTAAGTAGTTTTCACGCAATGTTGCATGCAATATTTACAATTTAAAAAATTACAAAAACAAGATTTTCTCGAAAACGGTTCCAATTATTTTTCTTTAAAATTTTTTGGTAGCGATAGTTCTAAATGCTCTCTAAAAGATGACGTAACAGCCATATTGCTGTATCCTCCCCCTCCTCAAATACAGACATTTTTTGAATTGTCTCTCACGTGGTTAATATTTACATTAGTGTTCACATTTCGATTTCGACATTTCAACGGAAAAACATGTTTTTGTGTCCCCTGGTACCAAAAAATCGGTTCTTTTCAAAAACGTCCGTCCGTCTGTCCGTCCGTCCGACTGCCAGGCTGTAACACTATTAGCGCCTAACCATTCGTGCATTTTTTCCCTAAATGGGTATTGCCCGGTCTATCTGGTTCTTCTCGAAGCGTCACGATTTTGAAAAACTTTCGTTAAAATTTATGGATGAAACCCCTGGAAAATTCCAAATTTTTTCAAAAACGACTCCAATTTTTTTGCAATTTCTGGTGAGAAAAGAGTAAAATTAACTTATAAAGATGGCATTTGTCCGATTTTCACGATTAACTCAGAATTTTCGAAAATTGCAAAAGTTTGAATTTTTCCGCATCTTCCTCTAACTACAAAAATTGAAGGCAGATTTTTCATTGAAGTAAATTTTGCTCTCCATATTTAGCCCTTTCAATAATTTCATGTACATCTTTTTGAAAATTTTAGTAGTTTTCGAGCAATATTTGCAATTAAAAAACAATTACAGATTTAAAGATTTTCTCAAAAACAGCTTCAAATGATTCTTTAAACTTTTGATAGGGATAGTACTAAATGTTTCTTATTAGAAAACATATACGCGATGTTGCTCTATTCTTTTGTTTTTCAAAAATTACAAATATGTATTTTTTTACTTGTTTCAAACGTCCTTAATATTGATACTAGTGACAATTTGTTCACATTTAAGTATTTATCAGTCAATGAGCTTTAAATAATGTCAGATACAGTTTTTCGAAAACTCAACAGGTTTCTGTGAAAATGATCTCAAAATGTCGTATTTTCAGACACACTCAATCGCAATTTTCTAAAAAAAAATGCTTTAAATTTTGTCTTCAATCTTTTGCAACGGATAGTGCACTGTTTACGACGACAAAGAATTAATTTTGCGTCATTCTTTTGTTTTTTCAAAAATTACACAATTGTAATTTTTAAAAATATATTTCACTTCTTTAATAAGCACGTTTTCAGTGATTTTTAAACATTACTGTATTTGTGACTGGAGGTGCTATAAATGTCTTCATATGAAGTTTTTTGAAATCTCTATTGTTTTCTGTGAAAAGAGCCACCAATTTCGAATTGACAGTAGCGCTTTAAACGCAATTTTCTTAAAAGGCTCCAAAATTTTAAAAGAAAATTGCCATTAGAATGATGTTTTACTGTTCTTTAATGTTTTTTAAAGAACTATGTTACTATTAGGAAACCAAAAATTAAGAAATCTTTTTTTTTTTTTTTAATGTACTTTGGACAGCGACAGATGGCAGCCGGCAAGAGTATGTGGCAAGCCCAAATACGTAGCTGAGAACAAAGACAATAGAAAACAAATACGGGGAAGTCTGTGCCATTCTGTTGCACTACAAACTGATGAACCAGCAACTAACTATCAAACTCGATATTAGGGATCCACAAAACATGTATTTCTGTTGAAATCTCGAAATATTCTTTTAAAAGTTAGAATTAATCTTGGATAAATTAACAAAGCGGGCTCATTACTCTATTATAATCTATGGTGATATAAACGTTAACTTCCTAACTAGAGCTAATATTACACATGAAAGAGACAGAATCAAACTAATAAACTTAGTATGCTCCTATATTCTAGATGCAGTACACACAAACCAAGCAGTCAAAGAACTCCCAAACAGCAATAGACCAGATCTTTTTAGACATAACAAAACACACATACACAATCACCACTAATGATATGGGGATCACTCTTAAAATAAATTCCACCTCACCAAAAGCAAGCCTAATAAAGGAGACCAGGAAGTATAATGAAAAAAACCTGAACAATCTCATCTCCCTGTTAACTAATGAATCATGGTCAGGGATATATGAAATATCTGCCATCAACCCAAAGTTTGACACTTTCTTTAATACAATCAAACATTATTTCAACATCTCACATCCACTACAGTATCACAAAACAAACAACACAAAAAATAGCAAAGCATGGATAACAAAAGGTATTAAAATTTCTTGTGAAAGAAAATGAGAGCTTTATAAACTCACAAAAGAACACTCGTGCAATCGTCAAATAGTCAACTACTATAAGTGATATTCAGCCATATATAGTCATAATATAGTTATAATAAAATCCAAACAAATGTCAAATGATGAGTATATAAAAAAATCCAAAAATAAAACAAAAGCTATGTGGAATACAAAAAACATTACTAGCAAATAACAAAACACAAAATATTGAACTAGTCCATGAACACAGAAGAATAACAAACCCTAATGAATGTTGAACAAACACTTCTCTAAACCCTAAATAATGTACATTGAACAAACACTTCTCTGAAATTCCTTGTAAAGTACTAAAAACAAGAAATCCAAACACTACACCTCTATAACCAGCACCTTTCTTTAAAAGCTCGCTTTCTACCATGTACATCACAGAAACAACAGAAAAGGAAATACTTCAAATTATAAACAAAATGCTAAATAAACAATCTGCTGGAATAGACAACATTCCAGACTTCTTAATAAAAA